GGCAGGCTTCACTGTAAAAAAGAAGAAAAATTACTAGATGAATTCACCCATATTCCTAAGTTGCTTTCATTGAATTTACTATCCCAATCAGAAGCTTTTTTTGTGAAAAAACTAGTCGTCACAGCAAAAGGCTGGAAGAAGACAAATGTAAATTTTATTTCACAAGACATTTTTGTTCTTTTTTATTTTTATTGTTGTTTTATAATTTTCAGATTAAAGAATCATTTGTTCTTTTTCTTCAGCGGGGGGGGGGTCTTTGAGACAGGCTCTCCCTGTAGTCCCAGCTGGCCTTGAACTCATAAGAGATCTGCTTGCCTCTGCCTCTTGAATGCTGGGACCACCACGCCTGGCTAAGAACCATTTGTTCTTTTTTTAAAAATGTGTTATGAGTGTTATATGCCTGCATGTAGGTAAATGCACCCATGTCATGCAATGCCCACAGAGGACAGAAGAGGCTGTCGGATCCCCTGGAACTGGAGTTATGGACAGTTGTTAGCTGCCATGTGGGTGCTGGGATTCAAACCCGGGTCTTCTGCAAGAACAGTGTTCTTAACCGCTGAGCCATCTCTCCAGCCTCCAAGAACCATTTGTTCTTATAATCACAAAGTGGTGGCCAGATTTGGCAGTTAAAAATGGTTTAGAAGCCGGGAGTGGTGGCGTATGCCTTTAGTCCCAGCACTCAGGAGGCAGAGGCAGGCAGATCTCTGTGAGTTCAAGGCCAGCCTGGTCTACATAGTGAGTTCTAGGCCAGCTGGGACTACCCCTATCTCAAAAAGACCACAAAATTTTAAAATTAATTTATTATTACTTTTACGTATGAGGTGTTTTGTCTGCATGTGTGTAAGTGTACTTGTGTATGCAATGCCTTGTGGAAGTCAGAAGTGGGTGTTGTATCCCCTGGAACTGGAGATATGGACAGCTGTTACTGGCCTTGTAGGTGCTAGGAATTGAACCCTGGTCAAGGGCAGCCAATGCTCTTTAACAGCTGAGCCATATCTCCAGCCTCAAATACCATCATTTATATATATATATATGTGTAAAGAGCGAGAGCGAGAGCGAGAGAGAGAGAGAGAGCGAGAGAGAGAGAGAGAGAGAGAGAGAGATAGCTAGCTCAGTGGGTAAAAGCAGTTGCTATGTAAGCCTGACACTCTGAATCCAATCTCCAGACCTCACATAAAAGCGGAAGGAAAGAATCAACTCCACCAAGTTGTCTGTATGTGTGCTGTGACATTTGCACACACCCCCTCTCCCACATTATACACACAATGAAAAAGAAAAATTTTTTTTTTTTGGTCTTTTTGAGACAGGGTCTCCCTGTAGCCCCAGCTGTGCTATGTAAGCCTGACACTCTGAATCCAATCTCCAGACCTCACATAAAAGCGGAAGGAAAGAATCAACTCCACCAAGTTGTCTGTATGTGTGCTGTGACATTTGCACACACCCCCTCTCCCACATTATACACACAATGAAAAAGAAAAATTTTTTTTTTTTGGTCTTTTTGAGACAGGGTCTCCCTGTAGCCCCAGCTGTCTTGGAACTCACTATGTAGACCAGGGTGGACTTGAACTCACAGAGATCTGCCTTCCGAGTGCTAGGATTAAAGGCATGCGCCAGCACGCCTGGCAATAAAACTTTTTTTAATAGGAGAAAAATATTTTCAAGATTTAACTGCCTCCAGTAAAGGGCTTGGTGGTCAGGAATGGGAGAGAAATGTTGGTGGTAAAGCACATGCCACTGGTTCTGGATTCCATGCCCAGCAAAAAACATAAACACACAAAGTCAGGGATAGGAGAGAAACTTGGTTATATCAGTAAGTAAATGAATAATTCCATGAATCAAATTAATGCTTCCAACAATTAAAATTTATTAATTTTCTGAGCATAAATTTTGAAAATACATGTAGGTATAAAAAAAAGTAATTGAATGCATTTCCTAACAATCTATTTTTAAGAGAAGCTACCTTCAGCCCTGGTATGGTGAAGCATGCCTCTGATCCCAGTACACAGGAGGCAGAGGCAGGTGGATCTCTGTGAGATCAAGGCCAGCCTGGTCTATACTTAGCAAGTTCCAGGCCAGCCGGGGTGACAGGGAGACCCTGTCTTAAAAAGCAAAACAAAAACCCCAAACAAACAAAAAACAGGTTTGCTTTATGATATTAGTCAATATAGGCAAGTTTAAGTGAAAACTGTACAAGTTTGCAGGTAAATATCTGAGGATTTTAATATTGACAATGATTTTCAATCATGTTATCCATTTTGAGATCAATAATCAGAAGACAGGTATACTACTATGAAAATGCTAATGAACTGATGATTTTACATACTGGTTATTAACAATGGCCTAAAATCCAAGTTATGCCAGGCGTGGTGGTACTTGCTTTTAATGCCAGCACTTGGGAGGCAGAGGCAGGCAGATCTCTGAGTTCAAGGCCAACCTGGTCTACATAGTGCATAGTGAATTCCAGGATAGCTGGGGCTATAGGAAGACCCTGTCTCAAAAAGACCAAAAAAAAAAAAAAAAAAAAAAAAAAAAAAAAAAAATCCAAGTTACTTGGGAGGCTGAGGCAGGGAGGCAAGTTCGAAAAGCCAGCCTGGGTACAGAGCAAGTTCAAAGCTAGTTTGAGCACCTTAGTAAGACCATGTATCAAAAAGTAAGACAGGCATGGTGGCACACCCCTGACACAGGAGGGTCACTGTCTTAAAAAATAAAATAAAATAAAAACAAAAAAACAAAAAGGGGGGCTGGAGAGATGGCTCGGGGTTAAGAGCATTGGCTATTCTTACAGGGAACCTGGGTTTGGTTCCCAGCACCCACTGGCAGATGACATCCATCTGTAATTTCAGTTCCAAGGGATTGGATGTCCTCTTCTGATCTCTGTAGGCAGGACACAACACAGATGCACTTATATACATGCAGGCAACACACTCATACACATAAAAAAAAAATTAAAATATTAAAAAAACCAAAAATGTGAAGATGACAAAATAGGCAAATAAAAGACTTATGGATAACAGGAAATGAGAGGCCTAAAAATGTCCTTATTCCTTTTGGGATTTTTTTTAAACAACTTTATTTACTTATTTATATGTGTATGTGCACCCATGAGAGCATGCATGCTATAGAGTTCATGTTGAAGTCAGAGGACAACATACAGGAGTCAGTTCTCTAATTCCACTATGTGAGTTCTGGGGATCAAACTCAGGTCATTAAGTCTTGGTGGCCAACCAGTAAGCCATCTCACTGGCCCTTCTTACTCCTGAATTAAATGTCTCCATTCCAAAAAAGAGGAATCCAAAACATGGACTAACACTCATTTCAGAAGTATTCAATGTATGGTTTATAGTTACTTCCAAGTTTCCAAGTTCTGGGAAACTGGAGACCATTCTTTCTTCCAGGACCACAAAACTTATGAGTTATTTAATTATTCCTTTATATGTGTATATGGGTAGGCGTGTGCATGCCACAGTGTGTATCAAGGTCAGAGGACAACTTCTGGGATTTGGTTCACTCCTCCTACCATGTGGGATCCTAGGATTGAATTCAGGTAGTCAGGCTTGGTGGAAAGTGTCTTTCATCTGTTGAGTCATCTCACCAACCCAAGAGCCATAATCCTTTTTTTTTTTTTAGATTTAATTTTTGTTTCGTGAGTGTTGTGCCTGAATGTATGTAAGTACACCATGTTGGGTACCTGGTGCCCATGAAGAGGCCAGAAGAGGGCATCTGATTCCTTGAAACTGGACTTAAGAACAGATGTTAGCTGCCATGTGGGTGCTGGGAACTAAACCTGGGTGTACTAGAAGAGCAGTTAAGTGCTCTTAACTGTTTAGCCAGCTCTCCAACCCCCAGAACCATAATTATTTTTTTCTTTCTTTTTTTTTGGAGTAGCTCTGGCTGGCCTGGAACTCATAGACATTCGCCTGCCTCTGCCTCCCAAGTTCTGAGATTACAGGAATGTACCACCATGCCCAGTATTTAGTATACAAGAGAAACTTGAAAATTTTTTCAGCAAGGTATAGCAATGACCTTGAAAATGGCCATCAGAGCCAGGAGTGGTGCACATGCCTTTAATCCCAGCATTGGAGGCAGAGGCAGGTGGATCTCTGTGAGTTCAAGGTCAGCCTGGTCTACATAGTGAGTTCCAGCTGGAGCTACAAGAGAGACCCTGTCTCAAAAAGACCACACACCCGCGCCCCCGCACAAAACAGACAATCAGAATTTAGGTTCCCATAGCCAAGTGTGGTGGTGCATGCCTATAATCCTAGCACTTAAAAGAATTTAAGTTCTTGGCATGTTTAGTGCCTTACATTCTGTACCATTAACATTCTTATAATCTAAGAGTATCATCATAAATCACAACCAAAGACCATCATTGTAAAATAAAAAAGTAATGAAATATTAAAGTATAAACACACCTTTTGGTATCAATTTTGATAGCAACAAAATTGTTTGAAGATGCTTCTGTCACTTTCTCATTTTCCCAACTTGCAGCCATCTGTGTAGACTGCTCATCATCACCTGTGAAAACAGTTCAAAGACTTAAAAGCCCAGGATTTGCTCACTGTAAATTCTTTCTCCTATTAAAAACTTCAAATGAAACATAGTCCACAAATATTTTTTTCTACGAAACTTGAAAACTGATCTTTTCAAGGTTGGGGATGTGGGCCAATGGTAGAGTGCTGATCTAGCATAATGCTCTGGGTTCCATCCTCAGCACAGCAAATACATGAATAAAACCAAAAAACCTTCATCCATGACTTCAGTTGACTCTCTCCAAAACACACACAAACATAACTACTTAGAGCTTCTATTGCTACCACTTTGAGCCAAGCTAGCACAGGTCACCCAGATAATAACTACAGTAGCCTGAGTGGGTTTCCTTGCTGAGTCTATTTTTATCTCTTTTAAAGATTTTATGTGTGTGTGTGTGTGTGTGTGCGTGCACGTGTGTGTTTTGCCTGCACGTATGTATGTGCATCATGAGTGTACCTGGTGGCCAGAGTTCAGAAAAGGGCATCAGATGCCCTGTAACTGGAATTAAAGATGGTTATGAGCTGCTATGTGGGCACTAGGAACCGAATCCCAGTCCTCTGTAAGAGCAGCTCTTAGCTGCTGAGCCATCTCTCTAGCCCCTGGATCTATTTTTATACAACTGTCTTTAAAAAGGGAGACCACATTAACCTTTTGTTAAAATTCCTGTATTAGGGGACTGGAGAGATGGCTCAGTGGTTAAGGAACTCTGGCTGTTCTTGCAGAAGACCCTGATTCAAATCCCAGCACCCACATGGCAGCTAACAACTGTCTGTAACTCCAGTCCCAGGGAATCTGACAGCCTCTTCTGACCTCTGCAGGCATTGCACAACACGGGTGCACTTACCTACATGCAGGCAATACACGCATACACATTTAAAAAAAAAAAAAAAACCCAAAACCACAAAACTTCTATATTAGGGCTGGAGAGATGGCTTAGCAGTTAAGAGCACTGACTGCTCTTGTAGAGGACCGGGTTCAGTTCCCAGCATCCACATGGTAGCTAATAATCATCTATAACTCCAGTTTCAGGGAATTCAATGCCTTCTAATCTTCGAGGGTGCTGCATGACACAGGTGCACTTACATACATGCAGGCAATATACTCATACACATAAAATTAAAAACATATTAGCTTGTTACTTTCCTCAAAGGAAAAGCCAAAGTCTTCATATGGCCTTACATATCAGGCTGCAAATTACCTTTCTTCACTCATTTCCTTTTACTTTCTTGATATTCTTTTCCTTTCTATTACTAAATACCAAAAGGCACTTCAACTTACGGGGCTGGAGAGATGGTTCAGTGGTTAAGAGCACTGACTGCTCTTGCAGAGGACCCGGGTTCAATTCCCAGCACCCACATGGCAGCTACCAACCGTCCTAACTCCAATTCCAAGGGAATCTGAAACTATCTTATGACCTCTGTGGCACTGCATGGCACGGGTGCGGTGCACTCACATACATGCAGGCAATACATTTGTACACATAAAATAAAATAAAAAAATAAATATGTTTTAAAAAGGCACTTCAACTTAAAGATATATGTACTAGTTTTTTCTTCTGCTTGGTATAATCTCTCCCCAAATATCTAACTCAACTACTTTAATCTTTGCTCAAAGATCACCTGTATAAAGCTTTTCCTAATCATACTGTTAAAATTACACCTCTAGAAACCCAGGAGTGGTGGTGCATGCCTTTGATCCCAGCACTCTGAGGCAGATGGATCTCTGTGAGTTCAAGGCCAGCATGGTCTACATAGTTTCAGGACAGTTGGGGCTACAGGGAGACCCTGTCTCAAAATGACAAAAAATACACCCGTAATACTACCAAAGCTCAAAGTTCCCTTCTCTCTTGTTCTTTTTTTTTTGTATTATGCAACACTTTATTCTATTTTTACTCATGTGTTTTGTGGAGGAGGGTGTGTGTATGTACACTGAATACAGGTGCATGAGATTCCCCTGGAGCTAGAGTTACAGGCGGTTGTTAGCTACTTGATCCTGGTGCTGGGAATGGAACCTGGGTCCTCTTCAAGAGCATATGTGCTTTTAACCACTGAGCCACCTCTCCAGCCCCACTTAACATCTTCTCACACACTGTGTGTTCTAATGTTTATTGTTTTTCTTTTCCAACAAGATAATAAGTTCCATGAGGGCAAGAATTGTTTCTTCATGTTACTGTAACGTTGAAATCCTTATAAGAGAACCTGTACAGTACATCCCTAGGCATATAGCAGGCACTCAATGTGGGTTTTTTTTGTTTGTTTGTCTTTTTGAGACAGGGTCTCCCTGTAGCCCCAGCTGTCCTGTCCTGGAACTCACTATGTAGACCAGGCTGGCCTTGAACTCACAGAGATCTGCCTGCCTCTGCCTCCCAAGTGCTGGGATTAAAGGCATGCGCCACCACGCCTGGCTTCAATGTGTTTTTTAAAAGGAATAATTAAATATCCAATGCAGTAAGTATCCTAGCATACCTAAAATACTTGACTCCAAGGCTGTACATTTAAATGCTTTGTATGAGATGAGATCCAAAAATACCAGGAACAAACATATGGGAAATTTGGACATGGAAAATGGAAGATCAAGACCAAAAACAATATCCTCTTAACAGACTCAAGAAAGTTAACAAAGAAAAGGGAAAATTATCATTTGCAAATGAAGAGTATTCTAAATGAATGTCTGCAGAGACCATGCTGGTAAGAAGATAATTCCATGAAAATGATTCAAGTATCACCCTAGAAAATAGCTAGCTATTCAGGAACATTTTTACTACAATCACTTCAAGAAAGTGGTGAAAGGAGAAATCTTTTCCATTCATTCTTTCATTCACTTACTATTTTTTTCATTTACTCCAAGCATTGGGCTTATATACTAAACATGAAACAAATGAAACACTGCTCTCAGAACTTAAAATCTAAACACATACACACACGCACACACGCACACGAATAAAGAGAAATCTCTTTATAATGGTCATGGAAACCTTTTCTGAGGTGACATTTAAGGGTAGGACCAAAGGAGTTGAGCTATGCCAAATACAGAAAAGTTCACCTTGAAGAAAGAATACATGTGTAGGAAAGGTCTGAGAAAATCATGAACAATGGAGAGCATGAGACGAATTAAACCAAAAAGTTAATAACGGCTTCCCACTATGGTTTCTTCAACTGAATGCATAATGGTGACATTTAGTTAGAAACTCTGGGAGAGAGTAACAGATGAATCAATATATGTTTAGGCTTGAAAATCAATCCTGTGAAGATAGTACAGTTCTGCTTTTGTGAAGTTGTGCCTTTCATTCCCTCACCTATAGAGGCCTATGTGGTCAAGGTTCCAAGTGTCACACCCTCACTGACAGTGTCTGTCCCTGACTCAGCCTTGTGATGGTAGAAGTACAAACCTGAATGCAATTCTCAATGAGAGCCAGCCAGCCTGACTGCCTCTGATCCTCCCTCCTTCCTTCCTTCCTGTCTTTTTTTTGAGACAGGGTCTCCCTGTAGCCCCAGCTGGCCTGGAACTTGCTATGTAGACCAGTCAGGCCTTGAGCTCACAGAGATCCAACAGCCTCTGCCTCCTGAATGCTGGGATTAAAGGTGTGTGCCACCACACCCGGCTCAAAAGGTTTCTTAATACTTAAGTCCTAATTGAATTACTATTTGCCATTTTCAGTTTTAGTTTCTTATTTTTAATCAAGTTATCAACCATACTATAAAATTATGTGACCCCAAAATTTTAGGAGAAAATATCCTAGGTATCAGCAACATTCAAAATGAAAAAACTTAAAATGTACAAACTTTGAAACACAGGCAGCTGTAGTTTTCCACAGCCAGCCCTTCCAATGAACTTAAGAAATCTCAACTGCTCAAAATTTAAAGGCTTTAGGGTCTATGTTAATTTAAAAAAAAAAAAGGCAGAAAATAGCATCTGACATTAACAATTTTTTAGCTTGCCTTACAAGAGATAGCATTGCTTCAGGCTCCTTATCAGATTTTTCTACTATAATAAAATTGTCTTTTTTATTTTTTTCTGGTCTTTTTGAGACAGGGCCTCCTTCCTCCTTGTAGCCACAGCTGGCGTGGAAATCAGAAAGATACCAGTCTCTGCCTCCCAAGAGCTAGGATTAAAGTCTTTACATCTTTCAATTTAAAAAGCTACAACTGCTGAGTGTGGTGGTGCACGCCTTTAATCCAGCACTTGGGAGGCAGAGGCAGGTGGATCTCTGTGAGTTCAAGGCCAGCCTGGTCTACATAGTGAGTTCCAGGACAGCTGGGGCTACAGGGAGACTCTGTCTCAAAAAGACCAAAA